TGCACACACAATAAATTTAATAGCAACAATGGTAATTAAACATTTATTTAAAATTTGAAATAGATAACCTAATATAGTTAAATTATAAAATACTATAAATATTTTTATCGAAAAGAATATATTTTGAGTAAGTATAGTGATCAGGAAAAAACTATTAGGTAGTAGGTTTAACACTTAATACTCATAATCAAATTTGTATGAGTTGTAATACATTTAAAAATTTTTCTTTCAATTTAAATGCTAAAAATATTCTTAGATATAAGAATGAATATGATTGACATTAACTATTTTCTATTATCTATGCCCAAATTTCAATTTTAAATATCAATAAGTTATGTTTTCTTAATTTTTTATTATTAATTATGAATTTGTACAAATTAAATACAAAATAAAATAATTTATTTGTATAACTTGTTTTTTATAGGACTCTAAAAAAGCTTTCTTGCATACAAAAAACAGTCACGAACCACTTTTGTCAAGTCTACCGCTTTGTGGAATCAACAAGGTTGCTCAACCAAGTCAGCTGATTTATTTAAACAAAATCTTGGTGTTTATTTAATTACACCTAACGAGACACATTGGAATTCACTGTATGATGCAGTGCTGCTGCTTAATAAATAAATTTAAAATAATGGACAAATTGGCTATTGGCAGGTAAATTGTAAAACTTAAAAAATTATTAATTATTTTATCTATATTTTTTATGAACAATATTTTCAGATTTAATAGAAGTGATATTTATTTCATGTGTCAATATCAAACAATTATTTGGCCAATTTCAATAAGCTTGGATTTACTCCAGGGTGATACTAACATGTACTAATTGTACTTAGGTCATCTTCTACATACAATTAAAGTATTAATTTATAAATATGAATTACTGACAAGTGATCAAACAGTTTCTAATTATTTGAAACCTCTGGTGACTGCTATACTTAATGGTTTGTATGAATTAATATTTTTCAAATACATTAATCTTATTTAGCCAAGTACTTAAATTGTACACATTTAATTTCTTTTCATTTTAGCTGTTTTTGGTTTACATTGTTGGTAAATACTATTTACTAAGTAGTAAATATATTGTATCTCTTAGCTCTTACAGTCTTCCTGATGTATAACGTAAAATTTTAGCTGATCTATTATTTATATTTATATTTCTGTGTAGTACCTACATATATATACTCATGAGCTAAAATAAACAAACTTTATTGATAATAATTTTTGTTTTTAGGTATGAAAACAAGGTTTGCTGATTATTTGGTAGACAAATTTTTAATTACTGCTGCAGTCTTCCACCCACTATTTAAAAAAGCATGGATTACAAATGATATAAAAATGCAGTTGGCCTCAAAATATTTAAAAAGTGCCTGTTATGACTTGCATACCAGTGATAATGACAATAATGATGTAGAAGGTAACCAAATGAAGATAATTTATATACCTTTTTTACCGGGTCACAAAATTCCTGAGAGGAAAAATCAACAGTTAGTGATGAAATAGATAGATATTTGGGCACATCTCCAACTAAGACTTTAGAATGTTTGCATAATTTACCCACTATCAAAAAAGTAAGATTAGTTGAAAACTTCTTATTCTATTAGTAGTAATATTAAAAAAAACATTTGTACTTAATTTTCAGGTACCTTGTGAAGTACAATACTCAACTACCTAGCAGTGCATCAGTAGAGAGTGTTTAGTGTTCTTGGTGCAACAATTACAAAAAAAAGAACAAATATGACGGATCAGCATTTTGAACAAATAATGTTCCTAAAATATGATTATTATTTTATCTTGTTTAAAACCATAATTGTTGAGTTATAATAGTTCTGCGCTAGCAGCTAATAATAATAATAATAATAATAAAAAAAAAAAATGTTCTTAAAATGCAACACTCTAATGTTTGATTAATATAATATATTATAAATGATTCAGAATTAAATTGATTTTTTTGTTTTGTATTTGAAAATTATTTCAAATACTTCACTATAGATAGTATTTGGGTGGTATTTTAAATACTTTGTTGTATGAGTATTTGAGTAATTACGTTTTGGAAACTGCCTTTAAGACAAAAAATATTACGAATAATTTTTGTTGAACATATAATTAAAAGCTTTAAACCGTATTCAGCATTAATTGTTACATCTTAATGTTATTGGAAATGCATATCACTAGGATCATGTGTGACTATATCAGCATGGTGCGATGTGACATGTGACATGTGACTTATCATTTAAGTACTTAATTTAACAACTTTTTTGGCTTTAACTAATTCAAATTGGTCGAGTAAATTCATGTGTACCTAACTAACAAACCTAAAATGTTCATGATTTTTTTTTAAAATACTACCTATTTTAAGAAAGACCTACAGCGACCTCTGCAAAGTATAAACTATACTTGTAGTACTTAATTTGTAGGGTAAGTTTTTAAAATATAAAACAATAAATATAGGTAAGTACTATTGAAGCGATTCATTTTTTTTCCCCCGTCACTTACCTTTATGTGAGAGCCTTAGTTAGGTACCTACACAGCTGTATACATATTATATTATATATTACACTATAGTGTAGTAGTATATTATAACCACACAATTCTTTAGCAAATACATCGGTGACTGCACACTATTATAGAATAATATTTTTTTAAATTTAAATTTGCATTCTATTTTAAAATAATTATGGCAAAGCGATTACAAAACTAATAATATTGTTTAATATTATATTAACGCCGAGCCCAGAGAGTATATTATAGGCACGATGAAGGTATCCAATTTTTTATTACTTCTGTAAATTTCAAAGCCTTATTTTGAATTTTTTTCAAGTCTCGACACTTCTAGAGTTGTATGTTAAGTTACAGTTAAACCGTTAAGACTAAAAACAATATTGCTAGATGCCGGACGTAAAAATTGACTCGCGACAGTAGTGTATCTAAAAATCTAAATGGCCAATACTCAGAGTGCCGTGTTCTGCGTTGTATAGACTTAAACACTCCCAATAATATTCTGTCTCGGAATTTGAAATAACAAATGTACCGTGTAATCCAAAGAAGTAAAAAACTCGAAAACTGATGACAACATATTATATTATAATAGTATAATACCTATCATCTATGGCAAAAGCCGATCGTCGTCACTCACCGGAGACGATTCGCAATTCTAATAATTTCATTGAACAAAATGAAATGTGTATGGCAACAATAAACATTTACTCACATATTTCATTCTACACAAGTAATTTTTATAAAAAATCTAGAATTTTTCAATTCGGATTTAGGTGAAGGAAGTAGTTCCTCGATATGGCGTCTGCACTCAAGATATGGCGCCTTGCTACAGCTATATATTACCCGAAGAGTCGATGTATACGTAAGTTTGATTACTTATTCTTTTGGGGCTTAAATATTTAACTTTTTAGTCTCAAAATTAAAATTTGATTTGCTACACGGGTGAAGTGGGGACGTATTTTTTGTTCCCGAACGCGCAACACAAAAAAATACGTTATCACAAACGACGACGGCATATCCAGGTCGCAGAATAATAACATATTTATAAAATTATATAAATATAAATAGTGTTGTACATACTAGTCATATTACAGTAGTACTGTACACTGGATTTTTATGTGCCACGAAATTCAACAATTTTTATTTTTAGTTTATATAAATGTTAAGTAATATATGAAAATTACTATGCCGTCTGCTTGTGGTCGATCCGCGAATTAAAGCGACGCCGTCGTACATCAAACATCAAAATATTTTATAAAGCTGGGAAAGTCGCTGTGCTGATTATTGAATATCCATCGGAATTTAAATAAGGAAATTGTAAAATTTAAATATTCCCGAATAGCTTAAAATATAACTAACCAATGCACTTAAAATGAATACTTAAAATATTAATTATTAATTTCGTGCTCGACTATATTCAGAGAAAAGATTTAACTTGGAATTTTACAAATAATAGTTGGTTAGTCGGTATACGGTAAATGTGATGTGATGTATAAGGCACTGAATACCTATTTATGTTAAATCTAATGAGTAGTAATCACATTTATTTACTATAATATTGATATTTACTAACTCATAAAAAAAATGCTAGTGCTTCGAATATTTTAACACCACCTTTATCAATTATTAAATTAAAAATTGAAATAATAGGTACTTTATAAATTGTTGTTATTTAAATTTGAAAATTATAAACTATTTTGGTTATTGTTATACCATCATTATCTTAATGATCAAATCTCAAACACGGACCACCTTGATATAAAAATTTGTTATGTACCATATATCTATGGTTTTATCATATTGACGTAGTATAAATTATAATGCAATCCGTGGCGATTTTCAAAGTAGTTACAAAGACGCAATCGATCTAAAATTTCAATTAGCAAAGCAGAGATGGACAAGAAACATGAAGCGATCCGTACGGTTTTTTTCTTCATAATAAATCTCAATGTTTCAGACTTAAGTTCAGTCGAGGGCATCTGATTTATTCCGCAGTGCACACACAATAATCAGGGATTCCGCCGAAGACCGAAAGTGTCGATGTTTCAAGTAATAAATTTTGGTTTCATATTTTTTTGGTAGTTAAATTTACTTTTTATACTTCAAATAAAAATTTAATTTCAAGATAAATATGCTACCCCTATGTAGACACATACTTTATTTCTGAGGGTAAATTCAAAAAATAAGAGAGATCAAATAATATACAAACGCCGCTCGTCGTCATCGTTTTTTTGCTCCCTGTTAGTAGGGTAATTTAATAATTATAACTTATTTTTAGAAATTGAAATAGACATACATTATAAGGTTTAATTTAGAAATACCTGTTATAAGTGATTACTCACAAGACACAATTTTAATTTATAACTTGTAATTTTTTTTAAATCCAAAGTTAGCCGTTGCATCACACTATTAATTTAGTGTTATATATATTTCTTTGTTCTATTATATATTAATATTATATTATATTATAGATGTATCCAAAAAACAAAAATGTTCACAGAGTGGTAAACTCACTATCCTAACCAGTAATCATCCTGTACGAGTGATTTTGAAAAATATACTTTTTTACTAGCATAGGTTACTTTATATAATATTGTGTGCATAATGGTCCTAATATATTGACATAGGCGTTCAAATGTCCTAAAATTTTGTAGTTATTCAAACCTAGGTGTGTACGAGTTAACAAATTAAAGTTACTTCAATTTAAACTCTTTAACTTCTTTAAGATTTCGAGCGGGGCGATGAATATATTGACCAACTTGTAACCTAATGTATAGCAGAGCGACCTCCACATACTAGAATTTTTTTAATTTAATTTTTAATATGTTAATATTTTTAACTTAACTGATTTTTATTGCTAAACATTTATTAAATAATGAGTTTCTTTTAATCAAATTCAAGTTGCGTAGTTGTTTATAAAAAACTAAATAATAAATATAGTAAATATTATTATTATTGATGATGCATACACTTACAACATTTACTTTTTATTATTTTAAAACCAGAAAACTAGCTATTTAAGTAAATAAAAAAATAAGTAAGTTGTAAGTTTTCTAATCAATTTTAACCGAATAAAACATAAAATTAGGAGAACTATTAACTTAAAACTTTTTGAAATGTTTCATATCGACTTAACTTAACTCAATTAAAAATTTTCATTAACTAGCCCAGGAATGCAGTTATTATTATACTAAGTTATTTTTTACTTATGGATAATCACATAACATATTAGCTAACTCTGATTTATTACAATAATTATTTATTTAGTGAAAACACAAATTAACATATAATAACTACGTATAGATAAGATAAAAACAAAAACTTAAAGAGATTATTTTAGCTTGGTATTTAATATCTGTGATTTCTAATAACAAATAGCTCATACGTATATTATTGAACATTTTAATATATAGGCTGCAATTTTTCAGAGATGTTATTCGCCAGTGAAAATTTGCCAATTTTGAATACAATATCATGACGTTATGCAGTGTGAAATATGTTGACGTGAGTGTTTCAAAGACTTGGTTGTATAGCAGAAAACATGTGGTATGTACTTTTTATTTATCAGTAGATTTATTTAATATTGTTAAATGATCAGAGTTTGTATTGCCCCCAACTTTTCAATTTAATTGTATTGTAACTACTGGTATAACGCTATTCCGGCTATCAATAAAACTATGATAAAAATTATGAAATTGATCAGGTATGAAATTTATTTTATTTTTTGTTTTAAATTTTTTTTTTGTAATATTTAAATATTTTCACCGATTATCAGGTACGATGACCTGTAGGCATTATAGAGACTGTGTGTGTGAGAGAGAGAAAGAGTGGTAGTGAGATGGAAAAAAGGGGGGAATAGAGAGAGAGAAAGAGAGAAAGACTGAGTGAGAAAAAGTGGGTGGGGAGAGAGTGAGGGTTAGTGAGATGGAAAAAAGGGGGGGAATAGAGAGAGAGAGTGGGAGAGAAATGGGGATGGGGGGAGGGGAGAGTGAGTGAGACTTGTAGGGAGGGAGAATAGGAAGTGTGGAGGTAGAATAGTTAGGTTAACAATGTCGAATACGTAGGAAAGGTTCTTGAATCGCAAAGGTCACTAGACCAATCAGCTGAAAAACTACCTAGTGCAGATAGGTTGAAAACCTTTATTTGTGGGATAGAATAAAAAGATCGGGAGAGGATGTCAGAGCACTGTTTGTTTGCTCTCAGTATCCCACGCACAACAAAGCAAATAATGTATCAGAACCAACCATATATTGTTACTTTAATAATGGTTGGTTCTGCTATACATACATTTGCTTTG